TCTCCTAGCATGACAACGTGGTTATTAAAAAAAAAAAAAAAAAAAAAAAAAACTTTTGAGGGAGGAGTACAAAAGAGAGTTTAGAAAAACTAGGAGGTGAGGCAACAAAGGAAACATACAAAACATGTTTATTATGAGAAAGGATTTGATATTTCAAACAAAGAAGTACAACCACTTTCACCTTTCGACCAAAGGAAATCTTAAGACTTACCTTATTGCAATAAATGAAAAGGTGTAAACAAGACTTGGAATTAACGCACATATGTATGACATAAAGGAGATATTTTTGAAATTTCCCATGATGAAATTCAATTTGCAAATCATTGGAGTTTTCAAAATTTAAGAGAAAAAGAAAGGTATTGGGTACACGATGCTACTACACGTAAAAATCATGGAAAAAATGCGATATTTAACAAATCTGCAGGTGAGAAAGATTGGTAGTCAATCAGACTAACGTACCTGAAAAAACTAACAGACTTTTTGCTTGACAATATATTTTCCAAACTTTGTGGTGCAATATTGAAACAAAAGGAAAGGGATACCGATGGGGCAGATAAGCAAGCCCTCCCCTCGCCTCTTTGGTCTATATGTTTGCAATATAAAATATCTAGGTGGGAAAGATTGGGAGTCAATCAGACTGATGGACCTAAAAAAACTAACAGGTTTTTTGCGTGACAATGTATTTTATAAAATTGTTGGTGCAATATTGAAACAGAAGCAAAGGAATACCGATGGGCAGACAAGCAAGCCCGCCCATCGCCTCTCTGGTCTATATTTTTGTACTAAAAAGGTTTAAACCACCACTACCTATCATGCATCGGTTGCAATCCCCTTTTAGAAGTTGTCCGCCGCCTATTGATTTTATCGATGGCATCACACAAGTAATTAACAAGGACCCTCTTTTTTTAGCCTGAGGTCAATGCTCTTGATATTTTCAAGTTTGGTGCTAATTACGATCTTGGAGATGACTGTTTCGGCCAGCCTTAAATCCTGAAAATCCTAAAAAAATGAAAAAAGCAGATTTGGCATAAAAGCACAATTTTGCCTTACGATTTTAAGCCCCTCTAATCCATTTTTTGAGTTTTTTTTTTTCTCCCTCGGTTTATGTGGTGCGCATTCTATGGACTAACAACAAGTCTGAGTAGACAATCAAACCCGTCCCTCGCCTCTTTGGTCTATACGTTTGCAGTAGAAAGGTTTAAACCATTACTATCTGCCATACATTGGTTGCAAACCCCTTTCAAAAGCTCCCACTGCCTAATAAATTGATCGATGACGTCATACAAGAAATCAACAAGGACCCTCTCTTTTCAGCCCGAGGCTAAACCTCCAAGCATTGAATAGGTCATTTAGGAATAAGTCTTTTAAAGTTTGGTGTTCATTAGGATCTTGGAGATTACCAGAGTGGCCCAGGTCCCCTTGCCCCGACGGACCAAAAAAAAAAAAAAAAAAAAAAAATATATATATATATATATATATATATATTTTTTTTTTTTGCTGGGACCTTCCGCGGTCCTTGCACGGTCGGGCCGCCCGGGAAAATGGGGTGACCCGGGCAGCCCGACCAATTGCCTAGATAAAAACATAATTTTGCCGTACGGTTTTAAGCCCCTTCGATCCATTTTTTGACTTTTCCTTTTTGTTGTTGGTTCATTTGGTATGCACTTTATGAGCTAGTGATAAGTCTGGCTTAAAAGGTGTGGGGCATTTGTTATAATAACCCTGAAAAGAACCCGTAATTTAACTTTTCTGGCCGTATATGTCGGGTTTTACAAGGTGGCGGCAACTGGCAGGCGGAGGCGGGCAAACTCCCGCAATTTTCAAGCAACAATTTTGATGACTTTTTACAATCAAAAAAATTGATTAAAAAAATCCAAAAAATTATGATTTTGTCTAGGCTACCAGAGTGGCCCAGGTCCACTTACCCAGAGCCAAAAAGATATGAAAAAATAAAAAAGTAAAAATGATTTTTTAAGAAAAAGTTTTATTTTAAATTTGGTGAAGAGTTTCAATCCAAAGGCAAAAGTTGTTCAGTTTATTTTTCTGTATAACATGTTTTATTTTCGGATTTTTTTGACTTTTCGTTTTTTTTGGCTCGGACCTTTCCTGGTCCTTGCACGGTCGGGCCGCCCGAAAAAATAGTGACACCCAAGCACCCCGGCTGGTAGCCTAGGATTTTTCAGATCAGATTGTGATCTTTCCATTAAAATAAAAAATAAAAATAAAAAATAGACTGTGAAATAAATGCCACGCCAATTCGTCACATTTTTCATTTTTGTCACTCCACCATGTGTGGGCCAACTAAAAAACTACCCCAACTTCCACGATTTGTTGTGCTCAAAAGAACAACTCGAAAACTTTGAAAAAGTAATTCGGGACATCCTTTGAAATTGGAATGACACATTGAAGATTACCATGGGCCCTGCGCAAGGATGGCACACATATATCAACAAATGGTCCAACATTTTTTTTTTGAGGGGGGGGAGACTTTGAAAATTGGAGGGTCTGTCAATTTGATCATGTTCTTTCCAAGAAAGGGAAAAAAAACAAAAACAAATCGTGAAATAAATATTGCGCCGATTCGTCTTACTTCCCATTTTTGCCGCTCTACCACGTGTGGGCCAACGGGAAAAGTACCCCAACTTGACTCTTCACGCTCAAAAGATTACGTCAACAAATTGAAAAATTGGAGGGTCCGTATATTTATTGTCAGCTTTCTAAGGAAAATATTATACCACTGCTACCTTTCTCAGTGTTAGGAAAAGCGGGAATATACATCACAATGCATTTTTCAAAAATCCCGAGGAGATTCGGCAGGAAAGAAAAGGAAAATAAAAAATTACGACTCTACAAACCCACGGTGAGGGGAAAAAAAACAGAAACAACCAGAAACTTTGAATCTGGCATCAAGGGAAGCCCCTCGCTGCGATGAAAGTCACACCAGTGCTTTGAGGAATATATATCTAGCCAATATGTGCAAAACTGGGTAGCACGATGTATGCGTTTGTGGTGCGCGGTGCAGACACGTACGCGAACGTACCCAAAAATGTGCGTACAGTTATGTATTATATATATAATATAATAGATATACATATTATATATAGATTCTATACTATATAGTGTTATATACCATATTATACGTGTAATATATTAAATATTAATAATAATACTATTGTTACTATCATAGCAATACTGAAGACAATAGGGAGGTAAACGAAATGGTGGAGAAAGTCAACGACAAGAAGGAGGAGGAAGACGACGTGGAGGTGGAGAAGATGGTGGAGGAAGGCGAGAACCGGGAGGACCAAGAGGGAGGTGACAACGGGGAGGTGGGGCAGATGGAGCAAGTGGGGAGGAACAGGCGGAAGACGAAGACGGGAACGCGGAGAATATGGCGAAGGAGAAAAGGTGGTCTAGGATATGGAGGTGGAAGAAGACGACGGGGACGATGAGGAGAAAGATGACAATGGGGAGATAGGGCAGATGGAGGACGAAGACGACCACGAGGAGGAGGGAAGGTCATATTTCAAAGTTCAAACCCCAAAATGAAAAAAAAAAAAACATGCGGCAGCCGAGGGCGGGAAGAAAGAGGAGGAAAGGTGCTGTGGAGTTGATGGCGGAGAAAGCTGGCAACAAGGAAGGAGGAGGAGGAGGATGACGACAAGAGGTGGATAAGACAGGAAGGGAGACGAAGACGGGGAGGAGGACGAGGACGAAGACAACGAGGAGGTGGAAGAGATGGCGGGAGTAAGACGACAATGGGGAGGAGGTGGACGGAGATGATAACGAGAAGGAGGAAGGGGAAGGCAACCACTGGGAGATGGCACAGTTGAAGCCGTCCTCTCTCTCTCTCTCTCTCACACACACACACACACACCTCACAGCCAGATTAGGGGGTGCCATGGGGCACGGGTTATACACCTTCCCACCAAGATTTCAAAACTCATGGCAGGAAGGATCAACGCCCGCCCCACGTTACTGCCCGCACGCACACGTACGCGGCATGTGCGTGCGTACATAAATACGTGTATGCACATATGCAAAGCCCGCGTACGTGTACACCGTGCTAGCCAGGTGCGAAACATGTTCGCTGATAAATTGTTACTGACGAGAAAAGACTGTTTGATAAGAGATACGTTGATGACTTGTCACAAAGAGCATAACACAAAGGACAACAAGAAGACAGCAGACATTGTGGATGCTATCATTGTGATCTGCGTCTCAAACGAGCCGACGCCGAAATAAATGTCGGCGAGTTTCTACAGAGGAGAATTTTTGTCCTCGACGACCCTTCTCAAATAATTTCAATGCATAAATAAAAAAAATGCCAAGAGCGTCTGGTTGAATCTTCTTGAGCAACTGATGAGATATATGATCACAAGCTGGGAACACGTTGTTATGACCGTGCCCTCCGCGACATCGGTTAAACTGGAATGATACAGAGAAGGACCAGGACGGCCCCTGCACAAGGATAACGCACATAAATCGACAAAATAAGTCCCCTTTACACCCAGAGAACACAAGTTTGCGACCATTATTTGGACCTTACACAGGACTATAAGGAACAAAAAACCAGGCGCAACGTCACCGCTGTCTCCTGACCCTGCATTGAAAATTCAAGGAGGTTGGTTTCCCTATCTTCACACTGCTATCAGCTCTTCGGAAGTTTTCCGAAAGGGTGGGCGGGTGTGAGGGTACTCTCACAGCTGGTCTCCTTGATTTGCAAGTGTTATACCACCTGGAACACGCCTCCAGAAGGCTCAGCAGAGTCACCCCTACTGGGCCTACACGAAGAGGCCATTTTAATCAAGCTTGCCACCAATTCGTAGAGTGGAGACCATACTAACTAACTGCAAAAAAAAATCCAAAAAAATAAAATAAAAAACATATAAAACAGCAAGGCAAAAGTGCATTTTCATGAAATTTCACCAACATCTCAATTTCAGAAATCTTGTCTGCAACAGTCCAGCTCCCGAGATCATGGTGACATCAGCCCCAAAGATGGCATAAGGGCTTGATTTGCAAGTGCTACACCACCTGGAACCCACCTCCAGAAGGCTCAGCAGGGTACCCCCTACTGGGCCTGCACGAAGGTAATACGCGTCAAGCTCCGCAACAGTCCCGCTCCCGATATCATCGTGACAGCTTGATTTGCAGGTGCTGTACCGCCTAGAACACGCATCCAGAAGGCTCAGCAGGGTACCCCCCTCTACTGGGCCTGCATGAAGGGAATACACGTCAAGCTCTGCAACAGTCCAGCTCCCGAGATCACGGTGACATCAGAGCCCCGAAGATGGCATAAGCATATTCCGATTCCAGACGGATTCCGTCAGACAGCTACAAAGTAAATCAGTGACTCGACACCATGCATAAGATTTCTCCATGGCAACACTCGTTGGTACTATGGGCTCTACGCGAGGGGCGGACTTGGCCCGAGGTCCAATCGTTTGGGGACTTGGCCTTCGGTTTATCTTCGATTTCTTTTAAGATTTAATTAAACATTTTTTTTCCGATACACAACCTGAGTCCGGAGGTCCGTGATAACGTTGTCAAGGGACAGACTCTGCATACGGGGGTGACCTCCAAACTCCAAACTACCAAGACAGGGCCGAGTAGAGCGAGGAGGTGGTCTGATGCATCGTTCATGCCATGCTGTTCTTGGCAATGTGGTGACGATACGATATCAAAACTCGCTCTTACCACATAGTTAATTTGAGCACCTCATCTCTCTGCCAGCTCCATAGCAGATACCTTTTTGAAGTTGTGCAGTGGAGCATTGCTCAAGGCATCCTGCAACCATGTGGCTGAACGGTACCCCCATCATCATCAACTGTTCATAAACAGCCCTGCAGTCGACTGTGCAATACACTTGTCAGGGTTGAGGAGATTAAATGGGGCTGAAAAGTGGGGGGTCCTTGTTTTTAACGGCTTATGTTCGACGGCAAAAAAAGACCCTGGGGGCCTGCGGGGCCCTGTGGCCGGTCAGTTCCATGGTTGTGTTTGCAACTGTGCAGATTACAAAATTGAAAATTTTGAAAGTTTGCCATGCTGTTCTAACTCCACTGTAAACCCTGCTCTGCTGTTTGAATTTTGAAATTTGCCCTTTAGTTTATATGCTTGTTTCTCATTCATGCACACGTGTGTTACACAGCTCTTGCTATAAACAAGCATATATACAAGTTTAATGAATTTCAGCACACACACTGGCTTGCCGCACCGCTCACCAATTGCCAACCTTTTGAATGTATGTGGACCACTGAAGGTCCTGATACATTCAAAATGTTGGCAGATGGAAACGGGTGCACCAAGCCCCATAATCCCAATTGTGTATTCATTTACAGGAGAGGACCAAGTAGCAGTAGTAGTAGATGTCGTAGTTGCAGTGGTACTGGTAAGATGCAGCGGAAGCTGGAGAAGCCGAAGAAGTCGAAGAAGAAGAAGAAGAAGCCGAAGCCAAAGAAGAAGAAGAAGAAGAAGAAGAAGAAGAAGAAGAGGAGGAGGAGGAGCAGGAGGAGAAGAAGGAAAAGAGGAGGAGCAGGAGGCGGAGAAGAAAGAGAAGTTGCTGCAGGAGGAGGATCATCAGAAGGAGGAGAAGAAGGAGAAGTTGCTGCAGGAGGAGGATCATCAGATTCATCATCATCATGAGGAGGAAAAGACAGAGGAGGAGGAGGCGCTGACGGAGAAGAGAAGGAGAAGGATAAGAGTACAAGACAACAGTAGGAGAAAAAATATTGTTCCAAATTTCATTCTATTTTTCGAAAGCTGCATGCTGTTTTTGCCATGCGGCTTAATGGCAACCCCTAGAGACGGGACGGGCTTTCCACTGCCGGACAGCACCTGGGTATCTTCAGGGCAAGGTCCACAAATGGCAGGAATCTCTCCATCCGCTTCCAGATGGCAGACAAATGGCCATTTAGCCTACAACATGTTTCTCCCACCCCTTGATGACGTACTCTTCAGCAGCAGCCGTCTTCTGAAAACTGTCACGTGATTCTGTCGCCTGGTTGAAACACAAAAAAGAGAAAAAAACAGAAACACAGAAAACACGTATCAGAAGGGTAACTGTTATCGAAGTGACACGTGTTCGAATCCTGTTCAACTCAAACCATACAATAATATATATATATATATCGTCAAATAGAACTGCCCGGTAAACCATAGGCAGAGAGGGAGAAGAGGACATATATATATATATAGCGGCCATGCTGTGCCTCTAGTGCCAGCGGCGTGTCTGGAGTGTATTTTTGGCTGTGACAGACCTTTCTTTGTTTCGTGGGTGTTTTGCTGGCTTGTGATGGGGTGTGAACCGACAGTCTGTAGAGTTTTCCATCTGGTGTGGGTGAGTGATAGTCTACTTTGATTTTGGTTAAGG